ATTTAAATATGTCAAGAAAAGTACAATATTTTTTCCAGCAGCTTGCGTAGCAATTCATCAGCACCTTCTTATCTCGTTACCTACGTAGCAGTATAAATGTAAGTAACGAGACTGAAAAGAGGTTTTTTGATGATAATGAAAGAGAATGCAGGCAATGGTCATAAATAGAGATATGTATAAGGGTGTGGGTAGGGACTTCTCTTCTGTTGTTTAATGCCCACACCCACACTCACATCCATATTCGAGGATTGCCCGTTTCAGCTGCTGCTAAATCTACTAATTCTGTACCTACAAAAGCAAAACCAGCAGTGACAAAAACGGAACATACTTCTTTATATCCGTTGGCAAATGCACCTGGATCGTGCCAATATTGGAAACCAAAATAGACACGATTGGAATCAATTCCAAATATCAGCAAAATACCGAGAATGATGAATCCGACAATAGCAATCACTTTAATGATAGAGACAAAGAATTCAACTTCACCGTATCCTCGAACACCGAACAGATTGATAACAAAAAGGAGGGTAAGAAAAATAGTGATCCAAATTGCAAGATTCACGTGTGTTTTCTAGTAGTCAATGATAATAACAGCCTCTGTTAATTCTAGTGGCATCGTAATCAATGAATTCAAAGCATAGTTCTAACCCATAGCAAAACCCCAAGTAGGATCGAGAAAATGAGAACTGTAGACGGCAAATGAACCGGAAACAGGAAAAGTAACTGCTAGCTCACCTAGGGCTATGCATACATTGAAGAGCATAAAACCGGCAATGGCAAAATCAAGTACAAGTGCAGCAGGATCACCAGTAGCTACAGCAGAGCCTGACGCAACGAAGAGACTAGTACCAATCGATCCGCCAATAGCAATCATCTTCAAATGTCGAGTTTTCAACTTTAGATGTAAACCTGTTTCTCCATTTTCAACATCATTACCTTGATTTCCTCCTTGCTTCGAACGGTTCATTTCAATCGAGATATTTCCAGAAGTTGGTGTACGTTTGAATGAATCGATGAGTTGATAAAATAAATTCGTTACTTGTTCTATAGACGGGTAGAATCAATATGACTTGGGATATCATTTGTCAAGGGAATACGGTCATTGTCTGGAGACGTTTTTGATTGTGTAATTTTCATTTCTGCTCGCTATCACACCTATTAAGACAAAATAAGAAAGAATGTACATCTTATGGATCGAACTGTGGGACGCATTCCCTATGCAAATATCCAAATATCAAACAATCGTACTTTTTGTAACGACTATATCAGCATCAACTCATCATGCTTCAAGTGTAAAAAAGTCCTGCTCGTAAGAAGAGATAAGAGACATGTGTTCACACTGACTAAATAACGCATGAACATGACCAGATATCTACTCAAAGTGACAGAAAACTATGTCATCAAAGCAGAACAAAAAGGAAGAGAGAGAGATACATAAGACAGCTCATCTAGCAATAAATCGTGATCCAACTTCAGATGGTTTCAATCCGTTCTATCATAGCTCCAATTCTAACCTTAGTCGCACCTCTTATTCAAATCCGAACCATCATCAAATGCTCTTTTAAATTTATGCAAACCTTGACAATAGTTATGGGGACGCAAGAGCATGATAAGTAAATGCTGGTGCTCTTTGTATCCTTCTCTCTTTCATACCACCAGTCCGATAAGTATGTGCGTGTGTGTGTTATAAGAAAAGAAAGAAACACATCATACGTCAGTTGTGACTGCAAGAAACTACTCACCAAGTTGTTTATCGGTTGTGAGATTGATTTTAAAGGAACAAGCTTTGTAAATCGAACTATTTTCAGATGACAATGTCTATGCCTCTTCCGCATTTCAAATACTCAGCATTATCATTATCACTCTAACTATTGATGATGCGTCAGAAATGGTGGTTATTCTCAATGATAACGAAACTGTCAAATATCTACTGGGCCTCCATATCCACTATCGATCGAACAAGTCAAAGACTATATATCTTCTCGTCCTTTAGTTAATGGTCATTGTCTAGCATGGGTGGTCCGTCATCACGACAAGTTGATAGGTGAGGTGGGCCTAGAGTGTAAACAAACTCCTCAAACGTATGGTCCGCGCAACTCAAAGTTACAGCAGTTCGATTATTGGACTCAAAGACACATGCCTAGATGCAGTTTTTTACGCTGAATACGAATCTGGCCTCGGGTTTTCATTTTAAACATGTGTTCATTGAGAAAATTCTAGTGCAATCAGAGGGTCTAAATATTGACGATAAATGAGTCTTCAAGGAAAACTGAACAACTATTTCTCAGCGCTACATTTTTTCACACGAAAGGTTAAGAAATTCAAATTCCTCACGTAATTTTGGGTCGAGAAACGTCATTTCGGGCTCAATCGACTATGATGTGTTCGGTCCAGGACCCCTGACATTAGAGGTGCAGTGATATAGGTAGTCCTTCTTCTTATACATCTTTCTAGTTTCTTACAGTACGAGTTATAGATTTTGTTTATATACCATTCGATTTGTCATTTCACGGGCTACAAAAGCATGTATCCCTTTTTTCAATATTCCTCTCCTGTGCTGAAAAAATACATTTACATCAATGAGGAAATGTTACCTTTGAAACAGTCACATGCAACAAACATAAAATACCTCATCAAAATCTTTTTGATCTACATTCAAATAAGTTTTAAATCATTATGAATTCAATAGAAATGGTCTGAGACCATAGTTTCGCCTTGGTTAAGCCATATTCACAGATGTGGATCTTCCCAACACATTTTAAAAGAGGAAAAATGTCCACGCATGAAAATTACTTATACGAAATGCGCTACAGCGCCATCGTTCGTCGTGGTCCATGTGGATGAATTAGGAATAAATTGGATTTAATTTTGAAAACAAAGAGGAAAATGGAACGAATTTTTCAAAACTACAGTACATCGGTCGAGCTTCACCAGCTCGAACTGTTCTATCTCATGCCAAAATCGAGAAAACGGCGACGTCATAGTATTGAAATAATTAAAAGACAATGGTTAGTAGAAGCTCAATCAAAACAATGTTTGGATGAGTCTGGTGAAGAAGAACACTTAGAAGTCCATCACGACGATGGCCTGGAATCGATCGACTTTTCAACAGAATCCTCTTAGATGATATTAGAGACATTTTCTCTTTCTGCAAAGGATTAAGTATAGGAACTTGTTATACTATATTTTATTTTCATTGACATTGTTGAAAAAGTTAAGATAAATATGACTGATGTAATTTTCCTCTGACTATTGTCTCAATTTTGTCATTGGAATACTCTTTGTTAAATAATTACTCATAACAATGATTTACCGCGAGTGAGTTTATTAATTTTATCAGAAACATAAGTCTATAAAGCAGAAAAATCATCGTGGTAAAAACTATGATCTGGTAATAACAAAGTTTTATTATACGAAGACACACAAGGAAGTATAAATCAAAACAAATCAGGGAGTCTCCACAATTCTACAAAAGTACGTTTCTATTTTCACGTCCTTGAAACCAATGACTTGATCCATTAGTAGTTTGGTGTGTGTCGCGAACAATGAATGTCGTCAATATGAGAAAGTTGACGTATGGCATATTGTTTTTGTATATGTCATTCTTAAAAGGCATCAAATATGTTTTTTTTTCTATTTAGCTCGATTTCATTTTGATTCTCCTATCATAGTGAATATTTCTCACAGTGCTTATTATTAACAGGAACCAAATTTTGCTTTCGAATGATGTCAATGAATTATCTTAATGTATTTTTCTTGTTTATATGGATGTAAGTATCTATGCGACACGGCCAACTAACTATGTTACCTCAATAAAAATTCGTGACGAAATTGTGCCATTTCGCTGTTCTGAAAGTTTTTAAACGAAAATATGTGTAGTGCTATAGTGATAATAGAGGTTGCCCCTTTTTTGAATAACTGATGAGCCGAAAGTTTTGAGACAAAATGTTTACTCATTTTTCGCCCATGTGAAAGTATTTCAGAAGAGTCGAAAACTATGGATAAGAACGAGAATTCGATGCTCTTTTCAAGAATGATTTAAGAAATGATCTGTCAGATTTTGTTGGAGAAGTATAAGGAAATCTTTGAGAAGCTTGAAAAAAATAGTTTGGACGGAAAAGTTTTCTGTAAATTTTCCCATTTTTATTATTTGAGTCCGAAATCTAAAGTTGCAATCTTCATTAATAGATCAGCTTGTAGAGCAAAATCTGCTCTACAAAATATACTATTGTAGTTTCTATTTGTCTTTCGATAAGGCAGCAAGGTTTTTGTTTTCCTGTCATTCTCAGTTTTGAAAAAATCAAATTTTTGATCAAACCACGTTTTATGCAGAAGCAGTCTGTAAAAAAAAATGCTTAAGATTTCACTCGTGTAAACGGTACATCTTAGTTCGACATCACATTTTGCACAGAATCGTCCGCTTTACAAAACAACGGGTGCCACATAATGAATGTCCGCACTTTGGATTTCACGTTTTTATCTCTAAATATGTTTTATTAAAAAGAAAATATATCACAAGATGCAGCGTGAAAAACTCTACAATCCACCAAGTAAAGCATATTTTAATTATATACTTTTTGTTTTCAAAAAGAGCAAAACTCTCTACAATCAGTATTCGCAAAGGCAAAAATTGATCGCACGGAATTTTGCTTTTTCTGAAAACAAAAAGTATATAATTAAAATAAGCTCTACTTTGTAGATTGTAGAGCTTTCCACGCTGCATCTTGCGGTATATTTTGTTTTTTTAATAAAATGTATTTAGAGATTAAAATATGAAATGCAAAGTGCGGCCATTTATTATGGGGCACCCGATACTAAATCTATATCCTAATGGATGTATCATCCTACCTATAACCTGATGAGTATACTGCCATATTGATACCTTGATGAGTACACTACTCTACTTATACCATTATGGGTATACTACTAAACTCGGTCTGATCTTGTGCTCAGAATCCGACAACAAGGTTTCGGCGGTTATCCGCCCGGATCCAGTTGGAATTATGTGTATCCGATAGGATCTGTCTGTCGAATCTCATCGTTTCCGGCAACATACGTTAGATCGAAATTCACTGAATCCGGTAAGCGGATATCAACGGAAAATAGTGAAAGTCATCGGAATACGTCGGAAAGTGTCTGGCCGAATCCGACCATCGTATGCAGCCGGATTTCACATCCGTACGACAGAATCCGATCGAGTGAGTTTCATCTGGGATATATGGCTAAAATAACTAGACCAACCCAATCTGGATCAGTGTTGTAAATTGTTTTTATGGGGCTCTTTCACGCATTTAATATTGTCAATTTTTAGAGAACGTTTCGGTAATTTAGTGCTAGGGAACTAAATGTGACGATGAAGAAGGAGAGGCGGAATAGTTCGTTTATTTGTCATTGCTGGTGATATTGGCGATTCAATTGACGTGTGCAACTTGTTTGTCTAAAGTTCTTTTCTGTGCTCAGGATAACATATCCTGAGATTGCGACTATCCAGTTGATTATTGTTTGTTGCAGAGATTGCCAGAGTAGATAAAAATCCCGGGAGTATGATGAAAATTCTGGGAGTACGATATACATTTATGAAGCGTTCTGTAAGAATTAATCAGATACAACAAAGATATGAATCTATCTCATATAAAACAAAATATACTTTCATTCGTGTTGTTAGCGTTGGTGATGATACATGCCAACTCTAAGGAAGATTAATATGTCTCTTTTAGCCTAATTGATGTAGAACATCTGTTAGGATAGCAAAAGGTGTGTGGTTCGAGTTCCACGAAGGGCATCTTTTTCTCCTTTTTGTCTTTTATATATGTTGGCCCCATATGACTCATATATGTTGCTATCACGAGTAGTGCTTTGAAACTCAGTTCGGTAATGGAAGCATAATGAAATATGGAACGCATTTACAAAATACATCTCAAACTTGGATGTAAAGGTATTGTCGCATTATGTACCATGTTTCAGAAT